CTAAGCAATATTCTTGCTATTAATACACACAATTTTTACCTTCAGGAATGGAGGCTGGGACAAACCTCTGGAATGAGTAGCCAGAAAGGCAGCTGAGAATACTCACCTGGAAACCCAGAGGGCCAGGTCTTCCACTCAAGTGCAGACCATGCCCTACCCAGCAAGCCCAGGTGGGAGGCTCTAGGCAGGAGGGCCCTATTAGCACTTTAATCATTGTGCTATTTTTTTCACAGGCATTCTTAAGTATTATTTTTGTGTTTCAGTATTACATACTCATTTTTTAAAAATAAAAGATTTATTATTTTGCTACTTTTATATAAGTTTAAAATTATTTCAAAATCTAAAATTTTTTAAAAATAAGAATATATTGCTGAAATCCTCTATACTACCATTCCCTTTCTAATTGCACTCTCCATAGGTAATGACTGTCTACAATTAGACCCATATCCTTCCGGATTTTATTTTTTCAAAAATTTATTTTTTCAAAAATTGAGATCATTTATCTCCTCCTGTTCTGCACTTTGCTTTCATTACCTAATACATGTTATAGACTGTGTCCCCTCCAAATTCATACAGTAGAGCCCTAAACCCCAATGTGTTGGTATTTGGAGATGGGGCCTTTGGGAGGTGATTAGGTTTAGAGGAGGTCAAGAGGATGGGACCCTCACGATAGGATTAGTGTCCGAAGAGACACCGGAGAGCTTGTTCTCCTTCTCTCTCTACCATGAGGACACAGCAAGAAGGCAGCTATCTGCAAGCTGGGAAGAGAGCTGTCACCAGGAACTGAATCAGCCAGCATTTCCCAGCCTCCAAAACTGTAAGAAATAAATTTCTGTTGTTTAAACCACCCAGTATATGGTATTTTGTTATAGCAGCCCAAACTGACTAATATAATATATAATGGACATTTTTCATATCAGCTCATTTATAGCAACTTCCTTCTTTTTTCAATTAGGCAAGTATTTCTGATGGATAAGGTCCTAGAAGCAGAAGTACTGATCAGAAAGTATGGAAATTTTAAAATGTTATAAACACTGCGAAGTGCCTTTCCAAAAGACTATACAAAGTTATACTCCCCCAAAAGTATATGACGACAATCTACTTTCCCACACTTTCACCAACACTGGATATTATCAGCCTAAACAAAAATGGTTTCATGGCTGTTTTTAATCCATACTTATCTGATTATTAATGAGGTTGAGCATTTTTGTATACATATGTGAATTACCTATTAATAGCCTTTGTCCATATTCCTATTAGATTATTTCTTCCTATTGATTTCTCAAACTTTGTGCTTCTTGCAACTATTTTCCCTACTACTTTGTCATCTGCCTTTTAACTTTATTTATGGCATCTTTCTCCTCACTGAAGTATAATGTTTCATGAAATTAAGTCTATCAATATTTTCCTTTATGGTTTCTGAGTTTTATTAAACTTGAGGGCTTTCCTACCCCAAAATCATTCCTAAAAACCATCTTCTATAATTTTGGTTTTGACATTTAATCTTTAATCTAAATGGAATTTATAATATTTTTGTGAATGGTACGAGGCAGGGATCTAATTTTTTCCCAAGTGGACAGCCAACTGTCCCAACAGTCTGTCCCAACAGACTGTACCACAGTCAATTCTATCTTACAGTCAATTCCTGTCTTTACAATGGAACCATCTCTGGACTTCCTAATACTGGTCCCAGGTGATATATTTTTATAGCTGGCTGCACAAGCCCCTCCTCACTACTCTTTCAAAAATGTATTGCCTATTTTTACACATCTATTTTTCCAGGTAAACCTTATTATCAGTTTGTAAAATTTAATCCACACTAATGAGCTGGCCTAAACTAATAAAGCTCTCATGACCTATTAGTCTTCTTTTGTCATTGGAACATCAACCTGTAGCTAGGAGATGGCCTTATTTCCCAGTGAGTCACACACTCACAGAAATCTCAGACTTCAGGGAATTTCATTTGAATTTACAAATCTCTCAGCAAAAATGTTCCAACAGGACACTTTTACCAAGAGGTCTGAGTGGCTGCCTTGTGCCTCAACCAATGTATGCTCTGAAACTTTCCCTTTCTCTCCAAACAGCTTGTATTCTCCTGGCTTATCTCAGAGTTGTAGATTCCTATCCCAAATCAGAGTACAGTGGCTCAGCTAATAAGATAACATGTCAAAAGATGTTGTATTTTGATAGGTGCTTCCGGAAAGCTTTGCTAGTTTTTCACATGCTGCGGCAGCCTGGTGGGAAAGCTGGGGGTCTTTGGCATTTCATAATTTTTTCACCTGGCACCACTTACTCCACAGGGAACTATGGGGGTATAATGGAAAGACTATGAGACTGGAAGTCAAGAGACCTGAGTTTGAGTCCCCTTTCTACCTCTATTAGCTATGCAGTTCAGATTAAGTTATTCTGCCTCTCCACCAGAGCCCAGTGGCCTCATCTGTAGAATGAGATTATCGGAATATAATAGTCATTACTAACCTTTCCACCCTGGGTGATCCTTTAAGAATCTGAGGAAAGCTATGGATTCTCTCCCCCAGAATAATGCACTTTTGCACGTGAACACGAAATCACATAATTGTGGGGGGTTCACAGACCCCCATAAAGCCTATCTCTAGGATCTAGATCACTGAGGCTTACTATAAACTGTTAAAACCAAAGAGAATACAACAGAAAAATATGCAGAATCACAAAGCCTTAAGTAAATGCAACCTACATAGGCTAGACCCTCCTCTGAACCAGTTCTCTGCCTCTCATAAGTGGTTGTGAAACCATAGCCCTGACACCAAAAGAGGAAAAAGAAGTCATTTCCCCCACTAGCTTAACTAACAAAGTGAACCCTTAAAATTAAAGTAGCGATCCTAGGGCTGAGAAAAGAGAGAGAGTACGCAAAGTAGAATTGCTGTAGTAAAACACTAGCATTACTCTTTAATTAATACACTTTTATTTGAAAAAGAATGAAGGTGTTTATTTCCAGTTTCAGGATACCAAACTCAGGAGGCCTTCCCATTAGTAGAATAAGAGGAAGTGTGTACCACAGCCCAGAGGGGTAGGCAGAGAAGCAGTGTGCGAGTCAAGAGAACCCTGGTGAGGCGCAGTGGCAGCCTGAGCAGGTCCGACTCTTTCAACATCAGCCTGATGTGGTTGGTAACCAGGAAGTAAGAATGAAATGGACTGGCAGAAGAAACAAGATGAGTAGTTGAGTCGTTGCTAATCACGTCATTTCACATCTTCACATATTTACTTCTAAATGTAGTTTATTTTTGTATCTTTATAAAAAACAGCCCTGGCTGGGCACGATGGCTCACACCTGTAATCCCAGCACCTTGAGCCCAGGAGTTTGACAACCAGCCTGGGCAACAGTGAAATGCCATCTCTATAAAATAAATTTTAAAAATTAGCAAGGCTGGCCGGGCGCGGTGGCTCACGCCTGTAATCCTAGCTCTCTGGGAGGCCAAGGCGGGCGGATTGTTTGAGCTCAGGAGTTCGAAACCAGCCTGAGC